CAATTTATGCGGAGAGTTCTATCGGCTGTACATTATTGTATAAACCTCGCTTTCAGCGCAGGTGACTACATGGATTTTATTGACCTTTTGTCAAGATGAACTCATCCTATTCTAGTGTACCTAAAATATGCTGGGAAAGTCATAGTATTTCATGTATATGAAATATTTCCTAAAAATATCACTCTACCAGCTCATTTGAAGGTATTCTTCACTCTGTATCGTAATCTTTATTTACATACAATTTTCCAAATGAAGATTCATTTAGGAAAAAAAAATCCTCTTATGATTTTTAACAAGAAATCTTAAAATAATCCTTTTAAAGTGCCAGACACTTTTATACACATATAATAAATTCTATCTCTAACCACGGACATCTTACTGTGTACATACATGTACCAAAAGTATATTTTCGCGATCATAATGAACACACTGAATTTCAATCAAGGATAATAAAACGAAGCATTTTTTTTAAATATTCCGTAATTTATCATCATCCTCATACTTATGATTGATTGTATGTTGTTTTACACGCCATTCGAGATTTTTTTACTTATATAGAGACGTCACTATATACCGGTGAAGGGCTATACTCGACATCAAGATCCCTTTAGCAGGAGGGATCCTTATCGAGCCAACGCCTACCGTAACACGGGACCTCTGTTTGTAAGAACTCATCCAAAAGACCCGCATCTTTCACTTCAAAGCACCGAGCGTTTGACGAAGGAACAGTTTTCCTATTTTTTATCGACTTTGGTCTGTCTAGGCCGAGGCTTGAACCCACGACTCTCCGATCTTTGAATATGCATAAGACACATATATTTTGGTATGGCTTCCCACATTTCACATGCAGTTTAAAAAAAATTAAAATTTATAGCACTCTCCCTGTAACAACAGGTTATATTGCAACGAATTGACTTCATATTCTATCATGACGTTATACGAGTATGTCTATAGACAGAGTGCACTGTGCTGTTCTGTTGGAAACCTTTTTTTATACACTTGCATAGTGCACTTTTTTCCAAGTGTAGGTGGGACATATTAATCCATATTAATATGCAACAATCCCACGTTGCGTGAATTATGGACGGGCTTAAAATCAGAAATCAGATTTAACATGATCCATTAGTGTACGCTGGAAAAGGTACTACTTTAAAACAAAAGGCCATGTTAGTGATATTAGTATTAATCATTCCAGTTTTGTTTGGATTCAAGTTTGATTATTCATAGCCCTCGGCGATTTGGTGGAACCACAATTCGGGTTTCTGTATTTTCAAAGTAGCAAAGAGGGGATTTTCTTAATCATTTATTATCCATTAACAATAGTTATTTTCATTCGCATATCGACTCGATATATCCCAGTTAACAGTACTGACGTTACGTGAACAGTACTGACGTTACCTGAACAGTAACTGACGTTATATTGCAACATAAGTGTGACTTATTGCATTGCTAACAATTGTATACGATATTAAGGTTTTTTTTTTCCCCATTGGAAAATGACTGTGTAGATTGTTTTATATTCAGTATGTTGGTATATAATTTAGTTGATTTGCATCCATTGTTTTTTTCGCTTTTGATCAAACTTTTATCATCATGGCATTGTCAATTATGCTAGGTTATCAAACTATAATGAAACTATCTTAAGATATCGTACGGCAATAAATGATGTCGAGAAAGAGAAAGGCTATTTAAAATCAGGTTAGTACTTAAGTGGTTTTCATTTTTCAAGGACACGTTTGAAAAGGACTTATGATAATTTCTCTTCTGTTTATCGGTTGGCGAGGAAAAAATCAATTTAAAAGTGATAAGTAGTTGCTCGCCGTGTTCTGTGGTCTTGAATGAACTTCCTTCCTACTTAGTTTGAAATAATGATAGATGTTTATACGTGCAGCTATTGGACAACATTATTATGAAGCTATTTATGTTTGCCGTAACATATCAGCATAACACACACACCTTTTTATATAGAAATTGTGATAGCGTATTATTTTGGGAAAACGGAAAGGTTTTATTGTTCTTAGTATGTTCTATGCTCTTTGGTTTAAAAACATTTAACGTATTAATATTTAAAAGTTCTTTACCGAGATTATTAAATAAAATGATACATACTTATTGTAAGATTTATAAAAAGAATCCAACACGCCAGGAAACTTTGTTCTATATATTCAAGGATAACTATTTATTACCCCCATTTTAAACAACGTGTAAAGCTGAAAAAAGAATTAAGCTTACTCTTTTCGTTTTTAGACTTTATGATACTTAAATACTTCACTTTGATATTTCTATTAAGTCTCATGATACTATTTTATGACACTTGATTTACTGTCGAACTTTCTGGAACGTTTTATTGAGTTATATATGGAAAATTATCTCTAAAATTTCATAACAACGATGTTCAGATTATTTGTACAATTTAGTTTTCCCTGTAGAAAGGCGGGATGGGGAGTACATGTACATGATTTTCGAATTATAATTCGTAAATAAGTTTTAATCAATAGAGCAAATAAAGAGCAATTTTTCTGATCAAAAATAGGAAGGAAATATCAACTACATGAATAAATTTAACAAAGATAATATTATGTTTTCCCTGTGTCTATTCAAATTTCTTTCTTATGATTGACGTGAGCAAATATTTCTTCTCTTAAAAATGATTGATCATAATCCTTCTTAATTTAGATTGGAGAAGACGTATTTAAAATGCAAAGGCCTAAGACCGTCTCACAAATCCTGCTGTGGACTTGGATTTTGATATATAATGGTTTGTATTTCATTTATATTTATCTTTTCTTGATAAAATTAGTAACAGACATTACTTGCTATGATGTGAGGATAGTATGGCAGGTCATAATTGTGCTTATGGCAGCAACGTGTTTCAGTTTTAGACAACGCTGAACATAGAATACAATGTTAAAAGTTTTATACATCAGCTTTATATCAACGTTAATTCCATGTTTCGGGTGCAACTTTCGACGTTGAGTCTTCAGTCTTTTTCTTGTTTTATATTTCATAAATTACAGACATAAAAAATAAATTAAAATATACTTTCGAAGTTGGAAATGAAGCCTTAAGCCTAACTGGTTTCACTGCATGCAAATGTCTTTGTTACAAATTTGACGGTTGCAACAAAATCTTTAATCGGGATTTTTTTCTAACCAGTTAATATATTTTAATACATACTCTTTTTTTACTTTTAATCACAAACAAAATTTGAAATCTCAAAAGAAGAAAATCAAAGTTTTTTTTTTTTTTTTTGTTTTTTTTTTTTTTAAAGCTAGGTTTACAAAGGGCTTAATTTGGCATTATACAGTAAACTCAGTTATAGCGGGGACCTATGAATTTACTTCCGAATCGTTGTATTCGTAATTCCTTATATCCGTATAAAGAATTCGTTAAAATATATATAACAATTTCACAATATGCATCTTTTCCTTCAAGTATGACTACCAAATATGTTCTTGGAGGTATTAAATACAGAATTTTACTTGGGGAATCAAGTATTTCTGAAGAATGGAATTTCAAATCTAAATAACTTGGGGAATCAAGTATTTCTGAGGAATGGAATTTCAAATCTAAATAAGCAGGTGTGTAAAGGCAGTACTCAGATCAAATTTCGGCGAATTTAGACTTTTTTTCATAAAATGTAACATAGATAAATCGGAAAAGCCATAAATAAAACATTTACTATTATTATCAATTGTATAGACGTCATTGAATCTTAGGCTAAAAGAAGCACTCCACCACGACGTCATCATGTGACGTCTATAGATAGAAAAATTGCCTTAATGAAAAAGTGAAAAGCTCAACACTACCCCGGAGATAATCCATTTCTTTGAGTGAAAATGATTATGGAAAAACATAACTGGGTCATGAAAAGTGCTGCTAGAATCCTACTCTCCCGACACAAAAAAAAAATATTCCAAAGTTTCGCATGAAACCTTACCAAAGTTTTTACATTTTATACATACGATCAAGGAATTGTTATTAATTCATGTTAACCACACGATTCTAGCAGCACTTTCCAAGTACTATTGAAAACAAGCTTTCGATGCAAACAAAAATTATGTTTCAAAGTATGCGGCATAGTGTTGAACTTTTGCATCTTTGTTGTTATAGAACGAGAGAGGAAACGCAGATCGGGATTTCAAAGCACTGCCTGTGTTCGTTATAAGAAAACATGATAAAAATATATATCAGCGTACCTGATTTTAATCTTTAATTAAGCCTAAATAGTTTCACTGCATGCAAATGTCTTTGTTACAAAGATGACGGTTGCAACAAAATGTTCTATTTCTGCAATGTTACAAAATGTATTCAGTTGTATTGAATAATCACATTTAATAAATGTATGAAAAATGTAGAGTGTATATCTGTATTATAATTATAGTAATATTTCTCGATTTAAATGGTCTCTTAAGAAATTATTTATTGATATACGAATTAGTACCTCAGGGGTTCTCAGATTCTAGTTTCCCGGGCAACTCCGGATTTGTTCCCTTTCAAGAAAAACATGTTTATGATTTATCAATGACAGATATATAGATTGAATTCTAGGAATATCAAACACCTGTTCTGGTTTATATTGAGACATTCCTTTATTTGTTGCAAAACTCATTCTCTATGGATTTTCTTTTACCAGACTATTATATTATTATATTATATTATATTATATTATATTATATTATATTATATTATATTATATTATACTATATTATATTATATTATATTATATTATTATATTACAGGCTTTCTTGCAATGATTTATGCATGAGAGATATTGAGGTGACTAAAATGTTTTCAGCAACATTTTAAAATTTATTGGCTTATATGTTTTATGTCAATATTTTATCAAACAAATTATATTTCATGAAATTTCAAGCAATTAAGTTTGTCATCGTTGGCCATTTAATCAAAAATTTAAGAAAATGCAGAATGTTACTTATCATTTCAAACAAATGATATTTGAAAGAGTACCATTTTCATTTGCAGATGATATCACAAGCATGTCTCTTGAAACGTCTTGGGATTGGTTTGAAGCTCAGCAACAATGTAATAAAAATAATGATACATTACCTTACAATGCTTCTGCCACGCCAACATCGGAATTCTGGTCTGGTGTCTACCAAAGACAATCTTTATGGATTAAAATTCTAGGTCTGTAGTCCACAATTTTTAGATTTATTAGATAGAGAGAGAGAGAGAGAGAGAGAGAGAGAGAGAGAGAGAGAGAGAGGTAATGATTGTGTAAAAGAAAACTAGTTTTGTCGACTACTTCACCTTTTGAATAAGAAAGGAAAGTTCAACCATCTTAACGAGCTTAACTCATTGGATTTCATTTTTAGGTTGTTATGATTCACAAGATATGTTTGACTATCAAGAATTCCATATGAATAATTCGTCCGCTGGGTTTTGTCAAGATATATGTGCATCAGTAAACTCGATAATTTTTGGAATTAAGGTATTTTTTTTAAAATTGATGTTTCTTTATTAATTTAGGTGCATCCTATAACTGTAACTTAAGAATGCATTGATTATTTTTAATACATGTAGTGTTTATAAAAAAATATGCAGACAAATAGTGCGTTTTATCCAATGCGCAAGATAAAAGGGAAAGAAAATGATTGATCGATTGTATGTTGTTTTTCGTCCCGTTCGAGAATTTTTCACTTATATAGAGACGTCACCATATACCGTTGAAGGGCTTCAAACTTAGACCTTTACTCGGCACTCAGGACCATTGAGCAGTGAGGGTTCTTTATCGTGCCAACGCCCACCGTGAAACGGGGCTTCGGTTTTTAAGGTCTCATCCGAAGGACCCGCAACTTTCACTTCAAAATCCCCAACGCTTGGCGAAGGAACAGTTACTACCTATTTTTTATCGACTTAGGTCAGTCGCGTCCGTGATTCGAACACACGACCTTCCGATCACGGAGCGAGCGCTCTACCGACTGAGCTACCGTGAGGTAAAAAATGTAAAATAGAAACATTTAAGAGAATGAATTATTCAAAGATGATGGATTTTTGTTGATGTAGCAAAACGCATATAATGTATTCTTTTTCAATTTGTTTATTTATTTTTTGCCAGTAAAAATAGTTTTTGAAATTCATGTTTGTCATAATCATGACTTCAGATCATACCTACATGAACGTGAAATAGATTTGCTATGTATATCCCTAAATACATATAGATACTAGTGTAACTCAAGTATCCAAAATTAAGTATATATATATATATATATATATATATATATATATATATATATATATATATATATATATATATATATATATATATATATATATAAGGGATTAATCCCTGTATTGGACTTAGTACAAATTTTATGGAAGAAAGGCTCTAAGTAAATATAGCTCTGGAGTTACTGCTTATCTTATTACAACAGTCATATCAAAACAAGGATGCAAAACAGTGAAAAAATACACTACTTGTGCCTTATATATATAACATAAGGAAGCGTTTGTGTCACATGGGTGAAATATTGATAAAAAGATTTATAATCATCAATGAATACAATAAAACACTCCCTAACTAAATACTTCCCACAGACTTTCTTTTAATCCTGCGTTCAGCTTTCGCAACGTTTTAAATGTGTAGCATACATGATTTAAAGCGGTATGTCGTTTTAAAAGTAAAAAAAAAAAATTAGTGCAAATCGTTTCTCCTCGATCTTAATTAATTCAGTTTATTGTAATTGTTGTCTTACCATCTGATCGTTCTACGTTTCATTTTATCTTTTTTATTTATTTTCATTTACTGTTCTATTTTATAAATGATATTCTACCTGTAGGAAAAGAACTGTTTGTGTCTGAAACGTCCAATTATCGCTAGGACGATCCCATCTTATCATTGCAATGAAACATGCGAAGATACAGAGGGTGTTCGGTTTTCAGAATGTGGAGGACCTAATGCCTATACTGTATACACTGCAGGTACAGTATATATGAAAGTGATGTTGAATCAAAATTATATTTGTATCACTTTTATGAAAAAAAATAATTATAAAAATCTCGTATATCATAATTTTTTTTTTACTTTCCGTTTATTTTTAACAATGTTTGATGTATTAACTCGCTTTCCAACATTCAACATGTTCAATGGGAAAATATATGCAAAACGTATCTTTTGCGAGTTCTATTTCTAACATTATGTTAAGCATTTTTAAATAATCTTCGAACTACATGTTGTGCAATTTAGTTTTCTGGACAAGGAACTGATTTTGACGTCTCTTTATGAATGAAAAATTCTCAAATGTACGTAAAACAACACACGATCAATCCATTAACCACTTTGACCATCAATTTGAAAAGCACTGACCTCTTGTCTTAAAAACATTTTGTACTTACATTGTATTAAGTATATTTTGATAAGTTTATATTTATATGTTCACCAAAATATAATTGTCAATATTTATTAGATTCATCATTTTCACTGAATTTGACAAAAGCTGATTATGGTGGGAAAACAGCTTGTGTTGCAGTAAACTGCGGTACTGAAAAAAGGTTTTCCATTTCCCCTAGTTGTTCTGAGTCATATTTTGGAGTCTGTGAAGATAAAGGTATCGTTTATAAACACACTAGAGTGCTTTATAGAATAATTAAAACTAAAATAAATCGAAGGGTTACCAGTTATTTATTTGCTACTAGCATTGTCATGATTTATAAAAGCACAGAAAAAAATAAACCAATACAAGAATGTTTATCATACAAAATCAGACATTAGAATAGAAATATGATTCCCCTGTCTTCAAACCTATGGTGAATAATGATATTGAAATTACATTTTAAAAATATATATTTCTCATTTTAAAACATGATAAATAGGTGCTTAAACTAACTATCCTCCAAATTAGATGTCAGCCTTTCTTTACTGGATACCGATTCGGATGCATTGTCAGAGTATTTAAATTTCGTTTGTGTGCAAGGTTATTGTAAAGCATATGGTCTCAGAGTACAGTTTTATGAGCTATGTAATATAATTCCTAATATCAAACACCTGCCACACAAACTCAAGAGACACAAGTTGAATCAACCGCCAGGAGTATTTTTGCAGAGTATGTCAAAGGTCAAGGTCAAGTGAATTGTAACCCAGGTAATTTTCATGATGTTTTATTTCAAACAATACACATGTTAAATAGCATTTATCTTTTAAATGTCAAAAATATGTTGTATATAGTCACAATGAACTATTTTGAAAAGTTGGTTAGAGGTCAAGTTAAAAGGTAACGATTTTCTTACCATGATGTTTTACAAAAGCCAAAGTGCCAAGCAAAAATGTGCAAAATATCAAATCCATACCTTTTACAGTTCTCAGGATATATGGTTTGACAGACGGACGGACGGACAGACAGACTCCGGATAAAGTGATCCCTAAGTTTTGCTCGCAGCTCTGCTGGCGACACAATGAAGCAAACAAACATTGCATTCAATTATTTGTAGATGCATGTGATTAAAAAAAAAAAAAAAACAGTGAAAAGCATAGTAACAATAATGGATCGAAAAGCATGTTTTTGGTTTCTTCTAATAAATAATTTTACAAATCCAGTTTGGTCTTTAATCAAGGCAAGTGGATCTAACCAGTGTTATTCAATGCTTGCATTGTACATTAATGGTGACCCAATGCCAGAATTCTTAAGAGAAATTAAGAAGTATTGATTAAAGAGAATCATGCATGCCTGCATTGGCCCCTGAGAAATCCCCTTAATACTTGCATTGGTTTTTGTGAGAGTTTCATAATGCTTTGGCTGATAAATGAGATTAATCTGAATGCTTGTATTAGCTCTTAAGAGAATAGGGCAATGCCTGCATTGGTTCTTTAAAGAGTCAGGCAATGTCTAAATTGGCTCTCAACAGAATCTCTCAATTTCTGCATTGGCTTGTTAGAGAATCTCTGAATGCTTACATTGACACTTGGGAGATTCGGACAATACCTCCTGCATTGTCTATGTAAAGAAAATCATGCTGCGTCTGCATTGGCCATGGAGTAACGATGAACTCCTTTCCTCACCCAATAGTCATTAAAATTTTACATCGACTCTACTTTAAACAAGTTTTCAAACATTATCAATAATTGGTGATTCTAAACGGGAATTCCCAAATAAGTTTTATTTTCGTAATAGCAGTCACCAATATCTAATTGCCCAATCAAACAAATTACGCATTCCTCTACCTTCGAATTCAATACATCAATTAAAAATACACAGAGTTCAATTGCATAATGTGATATGTGATTGCAAGGAATGTAATGGACAATGTTTATGTTTCAATGAATACTTTTACCATGCGATTTTGAAAATAGATAATTTAGACCAAAACATTTGTATCTGACTATTTTTCTTCATAAATATATATTATATTACAATCACATTGGTAATAAAAGCCGAAACATCTTCCGTGTGTTGTGTTTACCACTTTCTCATTTCAAATGATCGGGAAACTGCCCAGAATTGAGCAAATGACGACAAAATAGAGAGTACCTTAAAAATATGATTTTGTTTTATCCCAATCTTTTCGATTCAATACTTTTATTTTGAAATAATACTCGCATATTCTCTGACGACACCCTAAATTTTGCTCGTGCGCCAGAGGACCATATACCCTGTACGCATTCATATATGATAAAAAAAAACTTTTTTTTATCTATGTTCAAAAAGATAAGATATACATGTAACCAAATATGACAAAGAAATATTTGCTGAAAATTTCACATTAATGCACGCGTTGTTTTTCAATATTAACTGGAACCATCCTCGTAAATACATTCCGAAAAGAAATACAGTAAAAGATATATTTCATTGTAAACATACTTACATGTGTATATAATCATGGTTGAGAACTGGTGGTAACATGTTTTTCTTACAAAGACAACCTATAATATATATATATATATATATATATATATATATATATATATATATATATATATATATATATATATATATATATATATATATATATATATATATATATATATATATATAATAACTGTTTCTGCTTTCAAATAAAAAAAATGTCATGCATCAGTTTCGTTTTATTCATTTTCTTTTCTCTTTCGTAGGATATGTAGGCTGTTTTGAAGACCAAATGCCACGAACTCTCTCAGGAAAGAGAGAGTGGTCCAACGAAATGACTATAAAACTGTGCAGAAAGATTTGTTCAGATAGGAAAACAAAGTTTTTTGGTGTTGAGGTTGTTTCGTTAACTATATATTTTATGTAACACATTCAAAGATTCAAGGACGCAAAAACCAGTATATTCATTTCATTGGAATATATTATTTTTTAACAGTATTCATCTGAATGTTTTTGTGGAAGCCATCTTACGGGGAGGAACAACAAGGCTGAACATGAATGTAAAATGAAATGCAGTGGAGATAACCGTCAAATCTGTGGTGGACCATGGAGAATCAACATATACAGAAACCCATACTACGAAATTGGTAGTAATCGAGGAATTCGATTTATCATGCTAAAAAAGTTAAATAAAAGTGTCATTAAAAAGTTCCCTTTCAGTCTATTCCTCTATTCCAATTTCTTCCATTCTTTTCATAAAACTAAAAGAAAAAATAAAGTATAATGCATGCTTTTCTGATAATATATTTCTCAAATACCCCTACATTAATTTTCCAGTTTTTTTTTTTTTCAGGTTTTCAAAGATATTTTTAAAAGAATCACATTTTCTACTGAAGCTATGCCTTTGTAACCTGTTATTATAAATTGCCAATATATATGTCTTATTTTGGCACTATACAGTATTACTAGGACTGTTTTATTATTCAAATAATTAGAATAAACATTTCTCTGTCCTAATTTACGAATCTGCAAACCCTCAGTGCGAAAGGCTATTATAGCACTTGCATAGCAGGACACTGAGGTTTCTACATTGTAGCAACAAATTTCGTAATCTAGGAATTGTTTTCAGTTTATAGTCTAGTCATGTGAAATTCATGACTGTATCCTCAAACTCCAGTAACTTCAACATTAACATGTAATATCTGTGCGAGTTCCTGTAGATGATGTTTGCGTATTATTTTAAAGTAGATAGAGATGCTACACAGAACTGGACAGAATCGATGAAATGGTGCAAAAAATGGTCTCTGCCTACTTACTTATATGGAAATGTATCACTTCTAAACGCGTCCCACGCATGCCGAGCATTGCATAGGACAAAGGATGGTTTATCATGGCTTGGTATTGCAAAAGAAGTATATATGGGATATGATCGAGGTAAACGTTTTCTTTTTATCTTTTGTCTTTAATTTCATTTAACAAAGCAAGGCAATATTGACTTTCCAAGGGGTTAAAAATGAAAATACCTACTTATTCTTTTTAGGCTGTTAATCCAAAATAAAGGGCTGGACAATTTTTGTCTTGTTTTGCCATGAAAACTGATTTAGTACTTAGTGCTTCTACTCATATAAATGTGATATTTTCCCTAAAAGGCGTTAACATGATAGTTCTTCATCACGGTTACAGAAAGGTTATAAAAATCTTCTAGACTTTCTCAAAGAAGTACTAAGATGGTTAAGGTAGAGGTAGAGTGCAGTATCTTAAATTCACATGAAAGACCGCACTATTAGTAATACCTAAGTAGGTGCAAAATTAAGATAAAGTTTCAACATACTAATGCAGCGTAATTATACCAACACTACGTTCTTTGCTTTAACAGTTTTTTAAGGTCACCTGAGTCACTCAGGTAACCTATTGCTATCTGTTTTAGTCCGTCGTCGTGCGTCGTCCGTCGTCCGCCGTGTGTTAACATTTGAACATTTTCAGCTTCTTCTCTGAAACCGCTGAACCAATTTCAGCCAATTTTAGCATATGGATCTATGTGTAAATGGGAATAAACATTGTGAATTTTTATGGTCCCTGTCCCCCTGGGCCCTGAGGGGTGGGGTAAAACCACCAAAATTAATGTAATCTTTAAAAATCTTCTTCTTTACTCCTAGACATCAAGCAGTCAAACTGTTGGCATGATTGTAATAAGCATTGAGCCCTCTACCAAAATTGTGAAATTCATGGCCCCAGGGTCAGGGATTCTGGTGCTAGGGCGGGGCTATATTGATAATATAGTGAAAGTGCATTTTTTTTTCTTTGAAAATATTCTGCTCTACTCCTGGGTATTATTGAAACAAATTAAATACATAGTTATCATAAGCAAGGATGCCTCTTCCAAAATTGTAATTTCATGGCCCCTGGATCAGGGAGTTACTTTACCAAAATTGTGGAATTCATAACCCCAGGGTCAGGCGTTCTGGTGCTAGAGCGGGGCTATATAAATCATATAGTGAAAGTGCATTATTTCTTTGAAAATCTTCTTCTCTACTCCTGGGTATTATTGAAACAAATTAAATACATAGTTATCATAAGCAAGGATGCCTCTTCCAAAATTGTGAATTTCATGGCCCCTGGATCAGGGGTTCTGGTGTTAGGGTGGGGCTATATAGATCCTATAGTGAAGGTGAATTATTTCTTTGAAAATCTTCTTCTCTGCCTCTGGGTAATAATTAAACAAACTAAGTACATTGTTATGATAAGCAAGGATGCATCTTTGAAAATTGTGAAATTCATGGCCCCAGGATCAAGGGTTCTGGTGAAAAAGGGGGGAGCTCTATTGATTAAATAGTGAAAATGCATTAATGCTTTAAAAAAAATCTTCTCTGCCCCTGGGTATTATTTAAACAAACTAAGTACATGGTTATGATAAGCAAGGATGCCTCTTCCAAAATTATGAATTTCATGGCCCCAGTGTCAAGGGTTCTGGTGAAAAATTGATTATATAGTGAAAAAGCAAAATTTCTTGCTTCTGGTTAAAAAAGCAAAGAGGCTAAGTGTATAGCTACGAGGAGCAACTCTTCCAGAGTAGTGAATTGCATGACCCCTGGGTCAGATCTAGATGTGCTGGTGTAAGGGTAGGGTTCTTGATAATGTAGTGAAAATGCATTAATTCTATTAAATAATCCTGTCTGCTCCTTAGTGTGTAGCAGATAAACAAAGTGATTATTTATGAAGAGCAAACTTCTGGTCCTAGGGTGAGAGGTTCTGGTGTTTCTCTAGGGGGGGGGGGGGGGGGGGGGGGGGTAGGGGCTCAATTAATAATATAGTGGATCTATAGTAAAAATGAATTATTTCTTTAAAAATCTTCTCTGCACCTGGGCATATCAGAGGCAAAAAGAGCAAAAAAAGTAAGTTTTAATAAGGAAGGGTATTTTTACCAGATTTTTGAACATCTGGACCATTTGTTCAAGTGTTCTGGTCATGGCTAGGGCTCTATTAATTTGTAATCTACTGAGAGGAGTTATTCCCCTTTGCCAATTACTTTTGATAATTGAACACTGTAAATAATGTACTTGAAAGGTTAATAGAATAAGAGAATTATGCAAGAATTTTTATTGTATAATACAAAAAGTACTTTCATAGTTTTAATGATCAGGTAGACTTGTAAGTAATAGATGAATAAAAATGAGACAAAAATAACTCGTCTTATTAAATGTTCTTCAAAGACAAAGAGAGGCCAATGTAAGAGATTACAACAAGAAATTAAGATAGTACAGAAGCACTGATAGTCTGTTAATATACTGTATGGTGATATTGATGAATGGGGAACACATTAGAACTTAATTTATGAACTGTTAATAAATGCTAGACCAATTATTTTGTTGATCCTAATCATCCTATTTTTCTTGCTTTTGGGCAACAAAGTGTCACCTTTCAGTACATTTTATACCCTATGGATCCTCTAAATTCTTGTATTATGCTCAGGTGACCGTTAAGGCCCTTGGGCATTTTGTTTAAATGTTAATGGGGTTTCGATAACGAACGCAATAATAATTTCTAAAATTCTCGGTATAATATCATGGCTTACATGATTCTAGATCATTGCAGACCAATATATTATAAATTTGTTTCTAAAAAACTTCTCTTATCTGAATTTTTAAAACTACAAAATTCAGTAGTGTTTGATTGACATAAATATTACACAAAATATAATCAACTCTTAATATTGAAGAAAAGTGGAAAATTGGTTGTGCATAAATGAAAAATGTTATGTAACCTAGAAAACAAAGAGTAAAAATTGTTAGAAGAAAAAAGAAAACAAACACATCAGCATTGTCATATTGTGGTCAGTGAAGTATGCTGAGTTAGAAAATTGAACATATCCGGTCGTGTAAAAATTAACAATTATAACAGAGCTCGTGCCCATTTTTACAAGTTTTACAAACACAGATGTTTGACCTGACCTTATGAAGAATGTCTTTGTCGTTGAATTTTAAGAATGTGCATGTAAGTTCCATTCATGAAACTGAAATTAATTTTAAAATTTGAAATTATAAATAAAAACGGTAATGCAACTGTGTCCAAGCCCCTTTAAATAAGGTGACAGCACTTTCATTAAAAAGTTAGTGCATTTTATTTCTATCGTGAGTTTGAATTTTTTTCATTTCAAATTCACGATAAGTGCTATCATATGGTAAATAACATTAATCTAAAAAGACATTATTTGTAGGTTTTTATTTTACACAATATAACTGTTTGTTTGTTTTTGGGATTCCCTTTCATGTGCTGACTTACCCTAGCTATAGCTTTAAGGGCGGTCTGGTTGACTAGATGAAATTTTCAAAGTTTATTTGCTTTTATGTCTTACATACTGAGATGTAAGGGATTTAAAAGATAATATTTTTCTTTCCTCATCATAATTGTACAACTTAAAATAGAGGTGGTAAACTGAGTTTAAAATCTAGCAGGGACTATATTTTTGGCGGAACAGTGGCGTATGAAAATATCTCCTTTTCTGCTCCTCAAAATTACTACAAAACAATGAATTTAGTTAAATTTTTTAAACAAGCAAAGACTTAAAGAAAATTTCAAATGTAAGTAAAATTAATAATAATGGACTGATGTTTCAAAATATATCAAAAAAATATGATTTTCCAAACAAACTACAATTTTGTTCACTTTTAAAGGCTTCCACTCTAAGTACAAATTTGACCAAAAAATCCGTAAAAAGTGTTGTTTTTTTTCTCTCTCTCTCTCTCTTACTAAACGGTCAAAACTTGTTTTTGTATCAATTTGTATCTTTTAATGACTACTTTACCATATGTTGAAATAAGAAAAACTTAAATATACGAAGCATATAAAAATAACTAATATATCCTAAAATATCTAAGAAAAATAGAGGAAATAATATCTATTTTAGTTAAATTATTTATGTCAATTTGGTAGTTTTATCTGATAGACCCTATATGGTAATATCTTTTTGTGCAAAAAGAAAAACATTTAATCTTTCGAAATAAAAGTAGGCATCGCATGATAAACAACAGTATTTTTTTATTCGTAAGGTCAAAAGAAAGGTCTTAAGGAAAAAGATAATGACCTTGACCTGACCTTGCTTTTAAAATAAAACGGTCAATTTAATCTAATTGATACCATCACTTAATGAAAATGTCTTCTTGAATCTATAAAAAAATTATTAATTTTTTTAAATACAAGGTATTGAGAAGAATCCCTCCTGAACATTAAATGACATTTATTGTGTTTTATTTGATTTATTGTTTGGGCATTAGGTCTCGCTTCTTTAACAACATGAAGCTATACAATAATATGAAATAAACTGCTTAATTCAGTCCGTAAATATTCATTATATTTTTTTTGAATCCATTATCCAGGTGTAATGGTTGATCCCAACCACAGAAAAACGTTTCTGCAGTGTCAGAAATGTAACCGCACTGGCTGTGTATTTGTGGACTGCTTCAAAAAACTGAATAATGTTCTTTGCGAAAAGGTACATTCGTTTGTAAATATATGATATTCTTTCTTCCTCAATCGTTTGATAAGGAAAAGTAATCCACGAAGATTTTGAGTTGTTCGTACATGATATTATGTAGTAAGCAATCAACGGATCAAATACTTTCGATTCATTCCTTTGAATGGTTTAGATGAAATGTTTCAGTTAAATCACATTAAACTGTGAAATTTGGATGCAAGTGTAAAAGCAAGTTTCTTGACACCTAATTTATTCTTAACAGGGCTCTAATTGGCGACTAATTTAGTCGCCATGGCGCCTAAAATTTTTGATTGGCGCCTAACATTTTTCCATAAGTCGCCAAATTGGCGACCATTATAAATTGACTCGGCGATCGTCGAATTCCGAAAAATTTCACATTTTTAACTATTTTTCTGAAAAAGCGAAGAGAAATTTAAAAGAAGAGGAAATTTTTTTTAGCAATGGACATGTCGTGTTTTCTTAGGCACGTCATGGATCCCTATATTCTAATTAACATTTAAAGTTGGCACCTTAGAAAAATTGCCTGGCGACTAAAAATTTGCATTGTCGTATGATTTTTTTTGATAAAGCGCCAGCTGGCGCCTAAATTTTAGAGGCCACTTAGAGGTCTGCTTAAGGTTTTTCTGACTTCCTCTGTTTCTTACAGACTCTACTTGATGAAGTTACTACGGTTGATTTCGCACTAGCCACCCCTGAAGGTAAACATACTAGTACCCGTACTTCATATCATCAAAGGCATGGATCACTAAAGTAAATATTTCTGGTCCCTAAAAGTAAACGTATAACATATATTATATGAACCACGTCTGACTGTTTTATTCACGTATAAATAAATATTTGTAGCATAATTTAGAATGTTATACTTTCTTGTAAATTAGTTGAATCTGGAAAAAAAAAAAAAAAAAAAAAAAAAAAAAAACACTATTACCCTCTGAATGATGAAACACGCCCTCCAGCGTAGCAAAAGTCAACATTGCTTGAATTGGGTATGGGTGATATTCCAAAAAATATTGACTGCGCAGAATTTATGCACACACGGTTCAGTGTTGCATGTATCTGTATAAAGCATTCAGTATAATATAATAAATAGAGCATGTACATGTACATGTAGTTGAGGGTAACATTGAAAACTATCACCCCAAGAAAACCATTGTCAACCGAGGCGCAGCCGGGAGTGACAATGGTTTTCTTGGGGTGATAGTTTTCAATGTTACCATCAACTACATGCAGTATTTATGTAATATCATTCTGTAGTATTTTTTAGGAAGTTTTGGTCTTAACGATATGTTTTAAGAGACCTAGCAGTCTTTATAGGATCTTTTATGAATTATTATTTCAGTAGCATAGTTAATTATAGTGTGTGTGCTTATCAGGGATGATCCTGACTCAAGGTCATGATATGGACTGGGAAATGGTTGATTGATTTGCAGGTTACATATTATAATCTCTAGTCAATAATATAAAAGAGAATTGTTGTAAGCTTTAATATAGGCCAAATGGATATGATGTCAGCAGACTATAACCAGGGCGTGTCATAATCATTTACCCGTATAAAAGTCATTTACATCATTACAACTTGATAGCGCTCATTCTGGAAGGTGTTTAACGAATTCACGCTTTTTTTTTTAAATTTCAGATTTAAGAAACCTAGTTACTATCATTACATTAATTGCGTCGTTAGCGGTGGCCTTTATTCTTGCTAGTTGTTCAGCAATTGTCACTTGGTATATCCGGTATGTATCACTGTTTACTTTAAGGTTTATTATTAATATTATTATTATTATTTATTAATTTGTGCTTTTATTATATATTAATGTGTTAAAAATTCTTCCTTATATAGTATTTTTCTCAATTCTATATATTTTAAAGCAAAAAGGAAGCAGAAAACAAAGAAGAAAAGACAAATCTTCAAAGTTCAAATCCTAGCGAAAATTTGTACGCTAATGTAAATGGCGACCATGAAATGATCGAATATAATTCCGTACAGAGACCTTCACCAAACGATTTTAGCAAACAAGAAAATCCTAAGCAAAATTTAGATGAACCATATCGGGGAACAATTGATGGAGTCTATGATCATCTCGGGGATAAGGAAATTACACAAAACAATAATGAAAATGTATATGACCACGCATCTGTAGCCATGGAACCAGAGTACGGGGGGTATGATACTAGTGCTGTAACCCGAAACAAATTTCATGAACAGGCTACTTATGATCATGCCGGATCTTACTCTGATTATGGACAGCATGATATACAAGTCGAAAAGTTGGAAGATACTTACTCCAGATTGCATAATATAACGCCACGGAGCGGACACTCTTAAAAATAACACGTATTCATGATAATTCGCTGAAGGAGGGCTCTACATGTATAAATTATGTCGCTCGTAAGACGTCAGAGCAGAAGTGTTTAACTTTTCATTAGTGGCGAGTCTTATACATGCTATAGGGGTTTGCACTTGACTTTTGTGCAATATATGCAATTGTGCGATGACAAAACAAGGTTCATATGTTAGCAGTTACAATATGTAGGTACACAATCATGTACATGTATCATAAATGGGAGATGTTCTGACAACTTGCAAAAAAAGTAAAATAAATAAATAAAATAAAATAAATAATAAACTGAAATGGAAAAAAAAAAGTTCTAGATATATATGATTTAGAATTTGTTACTGTCTTTGTTTGATGAATAATTTAGGCCTATAGCAGAGACAAATGACAGTGTTTCAGCCTATATATAGTAAGTTCAAATGAAAAAAAAAAAATCAATCGTTCAGTAACATTTGGTTCAGAGGAAGATCAGTCATAATTCAAAAATCTCGTCTTAAGTAGCACAGAATGGAAAGGTAAGGCTAAGTAAAGATATACGGTATATAGATCTATATATTTAAGCTGTTTTAAACAGAAACTGCATGTTGATCAATAGTCAAACAATTTTAAAATTAATCATCATCATTATTATTATTTCTTGTGCTACATGTATGTGATGTTGACAGGGAGAGTTTGTGTGGATGGGGTCGGGTTAAACCAAATACTAAGTACTTGAAATCAGGGAGAATAAAATAAATCAGTGTTGATAGTCCTTAAAAGGAAATCTCTCTCTCTCTCTCTTTTCATATATAATATATATATATATATATATATATATATATATATATATATATATATATATATATATATATATATATATATATATATATATATATATATATATATATATATATATATATATATATATATATATATATATATATATATATATAATGAAAAATCCAATTTTTGGTACAGTAAAGTATTGATATATCCAATGAAAAAATCAAGAATCACAAGACTCGAATAATCATTTTAACCGTAAGCGCTTTCATTTTGTAACTGTCTGAAGAGCCATTAAAAGGCAGAAAGCGCTTACGGTTAAAATGATTATTCGAGTTTTGTGATTCTTGATTTTTTCATTGGATATATATATAAATGAAGTGGATTAGATTTCTATTTCATAGCCCTCGTTTCGTAAATTATATTTTGCAAGTATTTGCTGGTATTTCAGTCTGATAATTCTATTTACCTTATGTTTTCAGCTGTTACTTACGTAAAACCCCTTTATTATTTGTCTTTTATAAGTTAGGACATGTGTTGACATTCCACATGTTTTACTTTTTAAACAGGAAGTGTCATCCAAGTTGGGAGTCTTTCCATAGTACTTTTGAAAGCTGTGTTCTGATTGGTTAAGTTAGTTGTAGGATCTTTGATGTTTATTGGCTTTTATATTTGGGCCTATAGCTAGGGTCTTTAAATCCGAGTTCGTGTAGTTTTCTTCACTTGGGTTGGGGAACAGACCTAATTGTTAGTTCCTCTTTACAGTACTAATAAAACCTACTGGTTTAAACGCACTTATTTGTTTAGTACCCTTTAGTAGTGCTAACAAAATCTTATGATTTAACAGCACTCTAGGTCTTAGCTAGCTTTAGTTTCACGTTTTTCACAAGTTCTAGGTTTTTGTTAGGAAACAGTTAGGATGTAGGATTTATAGAGTTAATTTAGTTTTCCCCTTTCCAAGTCCAGCCTGGTCTAGGGATTTGTAGATAACAGGTATAATTCCTAGAACCACTATTCACTATTTATTATTCATTTTTGGTGTTGTTTATTTTCTGGGTTAGATATTTTTTTTTTAGTCCAGATTTAGCTTTATTATTTTTAAGTTCAACTCTAGAGTGTTGATTAGTAGAGTTCATATTGGGTGATGTAGCTCATTTTCCTTACATTTTCCAGCTCATTGGCATTTTCAGTTGTGTATATTTTTGCCCATTTTATTTTCATAAGTATGGAGGCTCAGTAGGGACATAGATATTTCTATTTAAGCATCTTTCATTTTTCAAAGGGTTTCCACATTCCTCCCATTTTTTTTTATTAAATTTTTCACAAACTTCTTATTTATTTATTGAGATTATTGTTATTCACTTGCCAAATTAAATTATATTTTTGATAAAACTATTTATTCCTGTGCAATTTTGAAAGACTTTATTCTCTGTTAAATTTTGATTATTATTTGTTATCATTTACAAAGGTTAATTTAATTCTCTATTAAATTTATAAAACTTACAACTGTGTTTTCATTTAGCGTTGATCATAGTTCAGATATCCCCTTACCTGGGTTGACAATCATAACTGGAGGTAGTTTACTGCTTTAAGCCAAGTTGGCTTGTAACTTTGCTAAGCTATTCATTAAAGAGTTCTACTCCCGGTTACATAATTATGTTCACCAAACGAAGTTTGGGAACATATTGTTTTTACTCTGTTTCTTCTTCTTCTTCTTCTTATTATTATTATTATTAAGGTCTTCCGTCTTCACGGAAGACCTTATAGTGATTCTACTGTTTCGTATTAAGGTCTTCCGTTTCAGACGGAAGACCTTATAGTGATTCTACTGTTTCTTCTTTTTATTATTAAGGTCTTCCGTTTCAGACGGAAGACCTTATAGTGATTCTACTGTTTCTTCTTTTTCTTTTTATTATTATTATTATTTTTTTTTCCCCTTTTCTTTTCGGACGATTTCTCGGAGATGGCTGGATGGATTTTCTTGAAATTTTCAGGGATAATAGAGAATGAAAATACCTACAAATGCATCTTTCATTTTTTTCAAAATTCACTTCCGGTCGTCAGATATGTCCGATTTCCGTTTTTTTTCAGAAATATTTTGTCCGAGTCATATCTCAGAAACGGTAAGATATTAAGACACCAAACTTACATGAATAATAGATCTTGAGGAGTAGGCAAATCCATTTGGGTTAAGATCATCAGTCGTCACTTCCGGTCGTCACAGGAAGTGATCAAAGAAATCGAAAATTTCATCTTTTCTTTTTTGAATATTTTTTTGCATCACATTATTGCATCTCATTTGTAGTTTCGAAATATGTTGGTCCCACCGGAAACAAAAACGTCAACTTCCGGCTATAAGCGAAAAACTGCATAATTTGAGTATTTTACTTTCCCATAAATATTTTTTATAGACAATGTATTTGAACTGATTTTTGAATATGTTATCAAGACTGTAAATGTCTAGAGTACCGTCAAATATCTTTGTAAAATTCACTTCCGGTCGCGCGTTTAAATGTCCACAAAATGAGAACTTGTCCCAGTGATATCTCAGAAACGGTAAGAGATTTAGACACCAAACTTATAGGAGTATTAGACCTTGAGAAGTAGACAAAACCATTTGGGTTAAAAGCGTTAGTCGTCACTTCCGGTTGTCACAGGAAGTGATCAAAGAAATCAAAAATTTCAACTTTTCTCTTTTGGAATAAGACTTGCATCATATAATTGTATCTTTTTCACAGTTACGATATGTGTTGGTCCCACCGAAACAAAAAACGACAACTTCCGGTTATAAGAGAAAAACTACATAGTAGGGTATTTAATTTTCCGATACATATCGCCTATAGATAGAGTTCTTTAAATGATTTTTATATATGTTATTGAGACTGCAGATGTCTAGAGTGATGTGAAATATTTTAGTAAAATTCACTTCCGGTCGCGTGTTTTCTTGTCCTCAAAATGAAAAGTTATTTCAGCGAGATCTCGGAAACGGCATGAAAGTAAGACACCAAACTTATAGGAGTAATACAACTTGGTGAGAAGGCAAACCACATAGGGTTAAAAGCGTCAGTCGTCACTTCCGGTGATCACAGGAAGTGATCGAAGAAAACAAAAATTTCAACTTTTTTTTTTTAAAACTAAAACTTTCATCACTTTATTGCTTCCCTTTCGCTGTTTTGAAATATGTTAGATTCCACCGGGAAAAAAAACTCTAAACTTCCGGTTTTAAGAGATAAACTACGTTATTTCGTGGTTTAACTTTCTCATAAATATCACTTATAGATAAGTATTTGAAATGTTTTTTACATATGCTGTAGATACTGCAAAAGTCAAGAGAAAATTTTTATTCACTTCACTTCCGGTCGAGTGTTTTCCTGTCTTCAAAATTAGAATTTGTTCTCACAATTGTTCGGCAACAGTAAAAGACTGAAGTCTAAAACTTTCAGGACTTATAGTCAGTCATCAGTTTATTTGCTTCGTGTAAAAATCGTGTGTCGTCATTACTTCCGATCGTGACAGGAAACGAAGCAAAAAAGTATTTTTTAACTTATTTTGTTTTTACATAAGTTTTAGGCTAATACCGACGTTGGAAAAGACATGTTCATGCAAACAGGAAGTAGTATAACGGAAGACCTTCTCATTACTAGTAATGAGTTTCTAGTTATTATTTTTTTTTCCCCTTTTCTTTTCTTGGCGATTTCTCAGAGATGGCTGGACGGATTTTCTTGAAATTTTCAGGGATGATAGAGAATGAAAATACGCCCAGACGATTTTTCATTTTTTCGAAACTCACTTCCGGTCGTCAGATATGTCCGATTTCCGTTTTTTTCAAAAATATTTTGTCCGAGTGAGATCTCAGAAACGGAAAGAGATTAAGACACCAAACTTTATAAATTAATAGATCTTGAGGAGTAGGCAAATCCATTTGGGTTAAGAGCGTCAGCTGTCACTTCCGGTCGTCACAGGAAGTGATCAAAGAAATCGAAATTTTCATCTTTTCTTTTTTGATTTTTTTCTTTCATCACGTTGTTGCACCTTATTTGTAGATTCGAAATGTGTTGGTCTCACCGGAAACAAAAACGTCAACTTCCGGCTATAAGCGAAAAACTGCATAATTTGAGTATTTTACTTTCCCATAAATATTTTTTATACATAACGTATTTGAACTGATTTTTGAATATGTTATCAAGACTGTAAATGTCTAGAGTACCGTCAAATATCTTTGTAAAATTCACTTCCGGTCGCGCGTTTAAATGTCCGCAAAACGAGAACTTGTCCGAGTGAGATCTCAGAAACGGTAAGAGATTTAGACACCAAACTTTTAGGAGTATTAGACCTTGAGAAGTAGACAAAACCATTTGGGATAAGAGCATCAGTCGTCACTTCCGGTCCTCACAGGAAGTGATCAAAATAATCAAAAATTTCAACTTTTCTCTTTTGGAATAAGACTTGCATCATATAATTGTATCTTTTTCACAGTTACAATATGTGTTGGTCCCACCGGAAACAAAAAACGACAACTTCCGGTTATAAGAGAAAGACTACATAATAGGTGTTTTGAATTTTTTCCAACATATCGCTTATAGATAGAGTTCTTTAAATGATTTTTATATATGTTATTGAGACTGCAGATGTCTAGTGTGACGTGAAATATCTTAGTAAAATTCACTTCCGGTCGCGTGTTTTCTTGTCCTCAAAATGAAAAGTTATTTCAGCGAGATCTCGGAAACGGCATGGAAGTAAGACACCAAACTTATAGGAGTAATAAAACTTGGTGAGAAGGCAAACCACATAGGGTTAAAAGCGTCAGCCGTCACTTCTGGTCATCACAGGAAGTGATCGAAGAAATCAAAAATTTCAATTTTTCTTCTTAAAATTAAAACTTTCATCACTTTCTTGCTTCCCTTTCGCTGTTTTGAAATATGTTAGATTCCACCGGAAAAAAACAACTTTAAACTTCCGGTTTTATGAGATAAACTACGTTATTTCGTGGTTTAACT